TGCGAAGGCCAAGTAAAAAAAGGAGGGGGGCGGTGGGGCGGCCGGCCAAGCGGAGCGGCAGCCTCCACTCTGGGAAGAGCCGCAGGGGAAATTCCTCAAGTTCTCTGGCTGCAGACAGAGAACCATTATCCAGAACAGCAAAGCCCAGTTTGGTGGCAACAGCTACTACAGTCTGCTTGGCTTCTGCACAGTTTCCACACACCAACACCTGAAGCAGTACAACAACAACAAAAAAATATAAATGCACATTTACCAAAGTTACATCATTATATTTATGTATTGTTTTAATCCAGAAGAGAAATATAAAAAACAAAACTCTCTCTCTCTTTTTATTAAATGTGTTTCTGTATATATATATACAAATATATATATATATGTATATATGTGTATACATTTGTTAGAAAACCGGCCATAATCATGAAATTCTAGACCAAGATGTCAAACATAAGGCCTGTGGGCCAAAACCGGCCCGCTGGGGGGTTCAATCCAGTCCGCTTGATGAATTTTGAAAGTGAAAAAATGAACAAACTCTTCCTATTCATGATGTTTTGTCAAGTTATTTTTCATTAAATAAGAATATATTCAAATATACTTCAATATGCTTATTTGTGTGAAAACAAAGGAGGGAAAACATGGACCCACTTCACATCTAATCAGGCTGTGTGTCCCCTGAACCCAACTGAGTTTGACACCCCTGACTACTGTATGTTACCTGTCTGTTGGCATCTGATGGTCCGTTCTGCAGAGCCCAGGCAGAAATTGTGTTAAAGGCTTTCACCACATGAGCTCCAGGGATCAATCTGAAAAAAAAAATAAAACTCTTGTTCTTAAATCCACCTCATCAGTGGTTTAAATAGTTTAAGTACTTTCACATTTTTCTTTTACCTTTGCAGATACTCAGCATTGGACTCTGGATAAACGTCCTCCTTCAAGTTGTTGCTGACGTCCACCAGTACCTGGTAACAATTCACACCGACACGATTAACAAGTTAGAGAGAAACTGCAGTAACTGCTATGTCACACAAAGACCACTGATTAGTCTAAAAGAAAAAAAAGAAAAGAAAAAGAAAAACTACCTTTCCATTCAATTGCGGTGCAAGTGTCTCCAGGAAATCATATTTTTTTCTGTGGACACACAGGAAGACCAGAGTGGCCAACTTTGCTGCTGCAGCGTGGCTCATTACCTACACACCACACAAAAACAATGGGCTTCAGAGTCACTACTTAAACACACATTAGATGTGAAAACACGATAGTCATGCAGAGACACGTTTGGTGACACACAAACACACACAGATTATCAGTGACCTTAGCTCAGACGGTTTACAAAATCTGACAGAGAACTGTTTGTTTTTCTGAGAACTGACTACAAGCTCTGGAGGACAAGCAGGTAAAGAAAAAAGCAAAATGTTTTCAACAACAGCACACAGAAACTGTGTAGGAAAAGACATCAAGGAAGACGTGTCGTGTCTGGTACCTGTGTTCCAGCAGGCAGTGGTCCGCAGCTGTGGGGTCTGCGGCTTCCATACACCACCCTGTAACCAGCCTGGAGCAGACGCTGGCCCAGGGAGCGTCCCATGTCCCCTGTCCCAAAGATACACAGCAGCTCTGTCTCAGGAGCAGCTGCTGTGCCAAGAGGACACAGCAACACAGACTCTGGCTGACTCTCCTTCGACATTTTGTCACAGCATTCAGCAGACACAGGCGGTTTTGACAAAAACTGAGAGACGAGTTCCAACAGGTCGTCTGTCAAATCTCCCCACTTGAGGGGGTTTGGACGTGGGTTCTGTTTCAGGGCAAAGTGAGCTGTCAAAGTTCAAATGTTTTCCTAACTCTGAGCTCAGTTTTCAGCCTTGAATCACTTTTTGTATTGGTCCATCCTCTCCCCTCCCCTCCGGTGGGAAAATTCCATTGCAAATCTGGGAATGTTTACTGGCACAATGTGCATGATCAGTGTGTGTTAACATTGCTGGTGTGTGTGTCTGTGTGTATGTGGTGTACTCTTATGACACTTGAAAAACAATAGAGGTTCTAGTCAAAGTGTCATCTTCTGAGAAATCATGAAATCTCTGGCAAGAACAGCGGCGTTTCCTGTGTTACATAAGCGCCTCTCTGTGAGTGGAGTTTACCTAATAGTGAAATTCACAGCTAATAATAGTAAACACTTAGTGTTTAAAGACAACATGGAGCCTCGGTGAAGCTTTGAACGAATGGTGTCATTGTGATTAACATCCTGTTAAGATGGTGAAGAAACTAAACAAAACCAAACAGACAAACAGTTGTGGAGAGCTGCAGGCGTGACCTCGAGATATTTGAACCAGGTCTAGGTCACAGTATGCTGTCTACTAGAAATGTCCCCACCCCCTGTCTCCCAACCCCCATCCTCCCCTGTACTACACTTGTCCATTATACTAGGACAACAAAAGCCCACATACTTCACTTCAAGTAGAATTTAACTTGAACCAAACTTTGGATTATTTTAATCCAAAGAAGGATCCAGCTGGTCTGACTTTTAGTTTATTTTTAATCAAATTAATTGCATATAAAATGATTGATGTGGTTTTATTACTTACAGCTAATGGTTGCAGGATAGACATTACAAACTAGGTTGAGTTGAAATAATTACGCAGATTCGTTTAAAAATAAGTTATTTCACAGTTCACTGGTTCTGTTGTATCATTCAGAGCAGACTCACAGACACAGGTCAATTTTTATCTGAGGTCATTTGACCTTTGAACCTCTATTTAGGCTTAATCTTTTGTAACTAAGTCATAATTCCGTCAATGTATAGATTTCAATGGTTCTAATTGTTTGATTTTATTTCAATTTAATGTTTTGTCCATTGAACTGGGACCATAAACATCCACATGCTTCACCAAAAGTACATTTCCAGTATTTTATGTCTAGGAGATAATAATATATGCACACAGGTTTATTAGCCGGTTATTCACTGTGCACACGGCCCTTTGTACAGTGACACTTGCTGATTCATGGAGTTTGCAGGCAAAGCTAGCAATTACAGTCTTATCTGTGCTCTCGTGCTGCTCTGTGAGTAATTAATATTCTTAGCCTGGTAAGTAATGTCAGCCTCTGAGTGCAGCCCCTCTTATTGTCCCAGAGGTCCAGAATAGCTGCAGCGTTGAAGACCGAGGTTAACCACAGACCTGGTGACCTGTCCTCCACTGTAATTATTCCCTGTGCACTGCTGTTTCACTAAGTGGTCAGTGTGTGTCTGGGTTGTGCATGTGTGTGTGTGTGTATGTGGAATATGGTGAAGGCACACATCTGTGACAATATGACCAAAAGTGTTGCTAAAACTAAGTTGGCAAACCTTAACTTAAGAAGGGAATTAAAAACTTCTGTGAATCCTATCGGACAGATAACTGTGTTTGAATACCACACCTACTGTAACTGCATTAAAGATATTTGTTTCAGTAGTTTTGCAAATGGGGAAATGAAATTTCTATTGTGGCCAGCAGTTCTCAAATTAAAGGGCGGGGCCCCTTTGGTGGCACGCAGTTTCAGTTGTTTTGTTCCTTTGTTGTTTTGTTCCTTTTTGTCTATGAGAACGCCATTTTTGTAAGAACAACAATACTTTTAATAAAAATAATAGCAAATAATAATAAAGTACATGCGCACATACACACAGAGAACAAGCAGACATCATACAGCAAACTAGTAATATTCATGCTGTAAGGATGAATTGATTTTATAAAATAAAATAAATAATCTCATCTCTCATCTGTTAACTAACATTTTTTCGTTGTTTTTTTTTTTTTTTTTGCACAATACATATAGAAAAGTGCAATAAAACAGTAACAAGTGGCGGCAGGAGCCCACAGCTACTAACAGGTGAATCCCTGGACAGTTTGCCAGTTTAAATGTGCAAATTATTTTCCTAAAGGGATAACATTTGTGGTGAAGTTTTAGTTATTGATATAAAACCATCTGATTCTGGTTCATACATATCTGTTTATAACCACTTTATCCTTCTCTAATTCTGTCGACGTTTACTTCTACTTTTACACAACACACAAAACTCTGCTTTATAGAGTACTGCGTGTACACTGACAGTGAAAATCACACTCTCTTCTGTCTTTGATGGTGACAAGCTCTGTGGTGGTTTGGGGAGAGTTACGAAAAAACGTTTTTTTGTTTTTGTTCTTCGGGATATTTCTCGATGGAATCTTCTGGCAAAGACAGAAGTGTTATTTCAGACAGATGTCACCAGAACAAAATGATCCAACAGTTTCTAACATTCAATTCATCTGGACATCTGTTCTAGAAAGGAGCAAAACAAAGTCAAAGATGTGAGTCTGAGTGAGTGCTGGGGAGTTTTGGGCCAATTTGAGGTTTTTTAGGGGGTTTGGGGGGTCAATTAAGTGTCAATGACTGGGGAAACTACAGTTTTGACTGAGGTTGCTGCAAGTGGTCTATTCAGTTTTCTCTTTGGCCTTAGAGAGAGGGGGTCAAAAATATAAGGCATACTGAGGCCCAATGTGTGAACCTGGGCTTTTTTATCTCAAATTGACCTGACAGGACTTTGTCTGTTCATGCAGGGACATTTTGAAATGTTGGTTTAAGGCAAATTGAAAAGTAATCTTCTGGCAGATGTCATTTGCACAAGGCCACGACCTGTGTCTTTGACTTGTGCAAGGGCTGAAATCCATTTCCTTTCATATGTTCTTTCAGTTTAGGAAAAAAAGTTTGGATGAAATTAAATAGAGTTGGATCAGAATCTGTAGCAGAGCTCAGATGGTTCTAACAGGTTTTCAAACAGATTTGACTTTTTTTATTTAATGTTTCCTCAAAATTGTTCATGTTTAGAAGTTGAAAAACCTGATCAACTGAAATTCAACTAACCTTTAGTTGATAAAATCAGCAAACAACTGTCTTCAGTATAACTTTTGATTTATCATGACATATCTCTGCTGAATGTTCTCGTATAACCTGCTCTGTGTAATTAAAAAAAATAAAAAATAAACTCAGCAGCATGGAGGTTATTATAAGGCAAATTAACACTTTAAGTGTGCATGGGCCACATAAAATGATTTGCTGGGCCGCATTCAGCCCGCGGGCCCTGAGTTTGAAACTGAAACTTTGACAAAGTTTTAGGTGAAGAAATGTATGTTTTTAATATAACAGTTCTGGCTGATACTGAAGCCCTTTGAAGTCACGCTCCAATGTAAACTACTGACAGCTGCAGCACGGAGGAGCAGAGTTCAACCTCAGTGGACGACACTATGATCACACACAAACAAACCAGGCTGAAAAAAAAAGAGCTGCAGGAAACGGCTCTGGCAGCTGCAGCCCCCTGTCAAATGTCAAGTCTAGCAAATGGCACCCACAGCCAAAGGGTGATGATGGGACGATCCAGTAATTCCCAGGCTACAGCCATTACATGATTGGGTTTTTTCACTGCACAATATTTGATTGTCTAAGCAAAATGCAAAGTGCATTGAAGCTGGTGTTCTGTACCAGTCCACTCTAATGCATTTCTGTGCAGAAAAGAGGCTGTAAGTGACAAAGGAAATCCTCGCATTCCAGATCAATCTGTAATACGTTTGAAAGTGTTTTTGTTTTTAACGTTCTACTTCTGGACAGCAGGAACGCAGCACTGGTTCTGTTCTATTTCTGAAACAAGTCTAATGTGTAATTGTGGTCAAGGTGGAATTTGGACCTCGGAGAGATGAGGGTAGAGACAGAGCAGCGTGTTATCAGAGCAGATGCTCCTCAGGTAATGAATTATGAGAAACATGAAGAACTATTACACCAGCAGCAATTATTCAGAGGAGAACATCATCAGGGGTGTGAATTTTTTAAGAATTTATTAAATATATATATATATTTTTTTATTTTTCTTTCTGCAGGGCAGGTACAAGTTCTTAGATCTTCTGCTGTGACCAAGTCAAAGAGTTATGGTGCCTGGGGCCGAAAAATACATTTTGGTATTTTCTCATCTCACTTCTACAAGTTAAAAAAAACTAATTTGTGTTTTCCTTAATACACCCACACAGCCAGACAATTGTTTGCTCACCTTCCCTTGGACAGGAGGCTGAAAGCTGTACCAGTAGACAGAGAAACAGCTTCTGATGCAGCTGTGTTGTAATAATAAAGTCTTCTGAGGTCTCAGCTCCACAGCCCTCATGAACTATACTACCTTGGACATGTACATGTTTATTGTACTAGCTCAGACATCTGCACATAACTATGCTACCCTAGATATTGACACAACTACTAAACTACTGTGGACTTTTGTCAACTATACAACCACCTGCACATCTACTGTACTAGTAGAAGTGTGTATTGGCAAGAATCTGGTGATACGATACATATCACGACACGGGGCAATGATATATTGAGATAATGGATGTACAATAATATCAGCCAACCAATATAAGAATAAATAGACTATAAAGGATGTGTGGCAAAAAACACATATCTACACAGAATATACTGTATATTGAAACGCAGTTTTGTTTTTGTTTTTGTTTTTTTGAGTATGCTTTGCATAAATGAAATGAGAAAATATACCTCTGCTGGTTGCTACTTAGAAAAAATGAAATCCTCTGTCAAACTGGAGTTGGTATTCCTCTCCCCATCTCCCTCTTTCTCCCTCTCTCCCCATCTCTCTCTCTCTCTCTCTCTCTCCTTCTGGTCTATCATTTTGATGGTTGTAGAGATTTGCAGTGAAATCTCACCACTGACCCCACTGCATGGGTGCTCAATGAGTGGCCTATAAAGTTAATGGGTCAGATCCAATCTTTCCTTGTAACACATCACACACTCCTCTCTCTCTCTCTCTCTCTCTCCCTCTCACTCAGTTTCCATGGCTCTTCAGCCTGTGTCTGAA